CACACATATATATATATATATATATATATATATATATTGTTATATATATATATATATATAACCAAGAGCTAATATAGTATTTATTAGCTGTTCATATAACGAATACGCGCATGCTAAGTACACATGACAATTTCATATACCAGACGCCATACTGTGTGTATACGATATATTATATATATAATATATCTATATAATATATCTATATAATATATCTATATAATATATCTATATAATATATCTATGAAATATGTAAAGATCAGTGGGCGAATAGCAGAGCAAATCTGCGAATCTGCGCATGCGCACGCACGTGGTACTTGGCTCTATGAGGCTGCGTTAGTGAGATATCTCAGGAATGTGTGAAATGGCTAGCAATCATTGCGCGCATATTTTACAACCGAATATTTCTTACAGGAACTTCGAAATCCTTTCGAAACGCGAGACAGAAGAGGCCTTCACGATAATGAAGTAGCCGGTGGTGGTGATGGTAAGTGGGAGAGNTATATATATATATATATATATATATATATATATATATATATATTATCATATGCGTTTGGTTCTCGGAAAACGACCGCGGGCCGGCGCGGGTGCTCCCGACGGAGCAATTGCTGGGTGGGAGTGGGGGTGAAGAACCGACCACTGTGCCGTGACCGTGACTGTCGGAGGTGTGGCAATTCCCAGAGCTATATTTACGGCCGAGGCGGCGGCGGCGGCATTCCAGCCGGAGAAGTGTGGCGCAATCCGCCGCAGGTTTCCATGCACGATATTTCGCAATACCTCGGCACGTTGTTGCCCCGGTGGCACATCTTACATCGCGTGGTGGCAATGCCCAGCTTATCAGCTGTCGCCGGCACGTCTGCTACTCGATCCCAGCACGGCGCCAAAACCGACCGTACGCCCGCGCCTTTTTCCCGCGCGCTCGAAGAAAATTGGGACACACGCGCGCGCGGAATCTCATATACTGCACGGGACGTATGTATACTTCCAGGAGTTAATAAAGACAATTTGTCTTTATTAACTCCTGG